TGATGTAATTCATTGAACTGTTTTTCTATTAAATTAACATTGAATGATACGTGAAGTGTAGAAAAACCACTTTCATGTAAATTTAAGTTATGATTCCAATTCTACTTGGTGTCTATTTCTTTTAGTTCTTTTGTTTCAAAGATGCAAGATGGAAGGTTTGCATATACTTTCATGAAGTAAATGAAATCTGAGAAGAACTGAAAAAAAAATAAGCTTTCGGACTAGAGGATTATGGAAATTAGAAATTGTATTTGACTGTAAATAAAATCAACATGTTTGTGAAACTGATATGAATGATTTATTCATATCAGTTTCACAAACATGATATGAATAAATCATTTATTCAGCTGTCATACACAATAATAGGTTTTAAATACTGCATAATTTTCAAAAGAAAATCATAATTTTTGCGGTTTTGTGTTAATACCTCTAATATGGTATAATGATACGCACTATAATATAAAAAACACAACACTAATATTATCTATATGTTTTAAAGAATATGAAAAGAAGAAAAAGAATGAAACAAATTGGCTATATTCATTTAATAAAATTGAATATATAAATGTTATAAAAATATGATATGAAAATTTATTATTATAAATAATCAATTATGATTTCATGTACATAATTTTTATGCGATTTTTTAATTAATATAATGTTGTGCTACTTGAATCAACCTTGAAACAAAATTGTGATGTTGATACATCTCATTGAAGAAATAAAATTTAATCAGCTTTCAAACTAAGAATAAAGTTTTGGCTTTTCATTGTTGATAATGTCAATTATAGATTCTATGAAGTGGGAAGATCAACAAGAGATGTGATTGACGAATTTCATCAGATTTGATGACAATTTAAGGATTACATAGTTAGATTAAAACGTATGAATTTGTTGTTGTTTCAACTTCAACACACAAAATAACAATGAATACTTGATCATAGAGCAACTTGTTGTTCAGTTAGTCTTACTGTTGTTGTGTGTTCTACATTCTCTCCTATATGAAATCTGAATGTTCGATAAACTTAGGTGGAGTGTGGAATTTGAAGACTTAGGAATATCATCACAATTCTATGCTTATTTGTTGAAAGTTTTGAAGTTCAAGCCATCTAAGGCAAAAAGTTCCATGGTATGAATTACGAGAGAGAAGGTGTGTGCATGTGACATGTATGTTTATGGCCTGAGAACCTTGTATAATTTATCCATCAGTATTTATAAGTGCTTAAAGAGGAAGTTTGTTTGTTTTGATATGAAATGTAGAATGTAGATAAACAAGAGAATCACATTAAAAAGCTAATATTTTGTCGTATATCAAGGCCGTCAACCTTTTCATGATGGTGGAGTGTGGTATTTTGTTGAAGCAGTTAGATAATCCCCTTGAATAACCCATTGAAATTTCCTGTTCATATGATCTTAATAGTGGTTACAGTTGTTTAGTAAAAGTAAGGGTTTTTTCATAACTTTCAAAATGATTTTATATGTATATTAGGAACTCAGTGATGATTGTAGTAAGAACCAAGACGATCTTCAAAATCCACCTTGTATGTGCGAATAGTTTGTGCTTGAAGTGTTAATTCCCGTAATTCAGGTGAGTTTGACCCCAGTTAGCGAAATGAGCTAAACTGTCTTTATATATTAGTGTTCACAATCCTATTCAATCACACTTTTTACAGTTAAAAGTAAAATCTGAAGTCTTTTGAACGTCACCGCAATGATGAACCATGTATATCCCGTGTAGGTTATTCATGTGGTTGTAGTGCTCTTGTATGACCATGTGTTGTGAGTGGTACCCTCAACCCTAAACTTTTATAGTGACGATATTAATTTGCAAAGAAGCTATGTAAAGTCTAAACTGCTTCTAGGCCTCAAGTGGTGTCTGTGAGTGGTGAAAGAGTTCAGCTCCGAACGTAAAGGATAAGCAACCTTACTGGTGATAGAGGTTCCACACCATATGAAGATGATATATCTCATATAAGGCAAGAACATACGCTAAATTCTATTTGGGATATATAACTAATTGACCTTTTCCTAAAAATTTTGTGTGTTTTTATTTTTATGCATGTCTATATAATTCAATCTGTTAAAAGTATGAATAATTTGCTAAAAAATATTCCTAAGAAGGTATATTTCACCAGTTCTTTTGGAGATTGAATTTTTGTAGTGATCTCTACAGTCTTCACGAATAAATTTTTCTCTTTAATATATATTTAGATATTTATTAATCAACATATTTATTACATCATAAAATGTAATTGGGGTCGAATTATCCTGGACGTGTATTACAACTGGAGGCAATTGTCCACCCCTGAGGCTGTTATCAAACTGTGGTTATAGAATCTTACTTTATTCTGTGGATGTTTTTCATGGTTCATCTGCGGCCCGATACCGAGTGTCTTGACGGGAGTACGTTCCACCTCATTATGCACCATAAAGTTCGAATATGAGGGCCCACTCCCCTCATACGGGCCTGTGGTTGAAAAAAGCAAAAGGAAAAAGAAAGAAAAGTATTAACCTCCATCCATTCAAGCAAGACCTTGCTGCTAAGTTCAAACGTGTCGCTTACCTGTTCACATACGGTAACTAGGAGGAGATTGTAGCCGCTCCGAGAAATACTAAGCGAAAAAGAAAGGACGTAGAGCCAGTAGGAGAACACGGAGGAGAGGCCCATTTCTCCTACTGTACTCTCTACGGACGGAAAGTTGCGGAATGAGATATATTCCAAAATGGGAGCCAGGTTTCTTCCTAGATTTGTTGCTCCTACCCTCTCGAGTTGTCAATCACACGCTGACGCATTTAGCCAATCACCGCTTGGACATGTCAGTCTTTGTGCTCTTAAATTGACGAGTTCTCGTCACATACCGTTCCTGCTCTGTGTATCCGTCTTGCGAATCCACTCTTATCTTCCACGTTCGATACTAGAGCAGAAGGAGAAAGAGAGGTTCATTTGGGCGGAATGTTATATAATTTCAGGAGATCACGTGAGCAGCAAACTGGCGATCATGCAGAACATCAGAACAGCCTGTGTATGGAGAAAACAATGGACCGGACAGATCACCGAAGAACAAGTCAACGATAGATGTCATAGGTGGCCTCTTCCGCGAAACATCCCCAGAAGTTCATCAATACGAGTCAAGTATGACTTATGACTTGTGAAGCTCGATAAGAAGTCTCATTGACGTGAGAGATATTACCTCAACATTGCTCAGTTTCGAAGAAAATTCCTTGTCTATGAAAAGGATTGTCCCTCTTGGACATTGAACACGTTAAAAGTTACAAACGGAAGGTGGCATAAGACGGCGCCAATAGTCGTTATTAGACTTTGATGACCTATATCTCCAATCTGGAAGGTTTTGACAGTCTACTCAAGAGCATAAGTCGGAAGGCTCGATGTGAAATTAAAGTCTTTTCAAGGCACAATCCAGGGAATATTTACTTTGGTAACAGTAACTTTCCACCAGAGTGAGTGGAAGAGTACGGGCAATCAAAGACCTTGCTGTTGGTAAGCAACTATTAATAAATAGAGAGAGAACGGATCGATCTGTTGAGTTTCAAACCTTTCACCGATAGTGTGAATCAGGACGCAAAACTTAACCATGGTCAGATAAAATTCCATACTCAAACTCGTTTAGCCTTCTTGATTTTTCAGCATTCACGTCTCATGATCCCGGAATCATTACAAAGTATGCGACTTCATGAAGGATTTGCTATCGAACGAACCTTCCGACTGTCATCCAGTATGGACTCTACGTTTCCCTGTTTTCTCAGCCTACTTCTATCAAGCAAGAGGCAGAAGGTAAGAAGGTGACTCAACGTGAACTGGACAGTGTCATTACATGCAAAGAGACTATGAGTGCTCCCATTGACAAATGTTTTTCTCGTGTTTAGGGATTGACTTCTCTTAAGACTAGACACAAGTTCAACCTAAACTAAAGACAGGAGAATCTTAGCCACTGCTGTGCCAGATTAATAAGTACATTAAGAAAACGTCCACACCTTCTCCAGAGCTGCAACTCTGGTTTGACTTTACCGTCATTGAAACCATGAAAAGAGAAAGAAAACAATTTTTTGGCACGTTCTGAGAAATCATTGGTCCGCTAGAGTTACATTTTATTCTACTGATATAAATGCCGGCAATTGTAGATGCAAAGCTACGAGTAGGTCATCGTTAAGGGTTTTTTTAGCAAGAGGGTGGTGTATGTACATGGGCGATGGCTTTCAGAACGTGTATGTGGGCCGTATGGAGGAAAGCTGCGTACGGCTTGAAAAGTACAGTCATGACTGAGGTGCCCATCGCACAGTTGTTACTTCCGTTGTCCGTTGTTTGTACTTGCAGACGAGTAAAACACTGATTTTACCCCGCCCAGTACAAGACCGAAGCTCCACACATAGGAATCACGTTGTCAACTCTGTCGGCGTCGTCGCGAACCTGTCAGACGACGTGGTAGAACGAGCCTATTTTTGTGGGCGGGGGGAGATGTCTTACTGCCGCGCAATTGCCGGCTGATTGGTTCAGAGGCGGTAACCGCGACGGCATAGACCGAGTATAGAGATCGGTATAACCCGCTGTAACGGGGAAACCTCGCGTAATAGAAGATTTTATAACCGAGCGAGATCATTCGGTTATACAAACAACATTTCCCGTGACGAAGGGCGTTTTAATGACGCAGGTGCTACCGTAGTTCGAACCACCTGCTGGTCGGTGGTCGGTTTTCCGGTGGAGCGCACACGGAACGACATCCTCCCGTTCAGTTCGAACCCGACGGATGCCTCGTCCTTCGCCGACACATGGCCCTTTTCGAACTCCCTCCGTGCTCATCATCCGTCCATGCATGGCCCCATGCGTGATCGATGCACCACCATGCCGAGCCCAGAAGAAGCCGAGGCCAGAGGCTTGGCGAACCGCGGTCGAAGGCTGCCACCGAACCGTGCCGGAGCGAACTCCAACCCTACGCGGTCCATAATTGAGAGAGGACGGGAAATGTAAGGTTTTCTGCTCTGTGAATGCACGAGAGAGAGGTGTGGGGAAAGGAAGAGCAGAGCAGCGAGACGTCCAGTTCGATGATTCTTCGCATTGAAAGCAGAGCAGGGCAGACATGTTCGCCTCTGAGGTGCAGCCATCGAGCCAGCCATCGATCGGACAGCAGGTGTAGTCAGGCGATCGGGCTGATAGCGAGGACAGATTAGGGAAGGCAGGGAGGGAGCGAGGGAGGCAGGAATTTTGACCATAGAAAAATACCTTGGCGCATGCAGGACGGAAGGAGAACGTGGACTTGAAGAGTAGTGGATTAGGACGAGGAATAAGTTGACCCAGGGGACGAACAGGGCAGGCAGAGGATATCGTAGAAGTTAATTTCCAATCAATCGATCTAATGAGGCTCCGTGTTGGCCGTATGCGAACTAGGGGCAAAATTAAGGTGACGATGTAGAAGGAGCATGGGGATTGGGACTGCAGGGGTTTGCCCGTGGAGCCGGGACTTGTTTCTGCGGAGAGATAGGAGGATTGAAGATCTTGCGAACTTCAATCTGGTGGGATTTGTTTCGTCGAAAGTTCGTCAAGATGTGGTTATTCTATACCGTCGCGCTGGCGATTACTCTGAGCATGGTTGGAGCTGTGCTCAGATACTTTGCTGCCCCTAATGTGCCTTGGCACGTCCTCATCACCGTTGGCTATGCCTGGTTTTGTACCGTTGTCATCATTGTCCTCGTCCCTGCTGATATTTGGGCGGTGAGTTTCCGCCCCGCTCTAAATTACGCTATCAGGAGGTCTTCTCATACAGCCTTTCAGCGCAATTTTTAATACAGGAAATTTGATGTCAGAAATTGACCGGAATTTGCCATCTTTGGGACTTTTCGTAGAAAGAAATTTTGTTCTTATGTCAAATTATCTGAAGAATTAGACTGCGACGTCTCACGAAAATACGTGTCGCCAAATTGTAAGAAGATTGTACTTAATTAGAGAGCCGAATGGGGCGTGGCAAAAGTTAGCCAACTGGGTTTTAAATCTAGGGTAAGAGATACAGATCAGTTTGGATGTGAACTGAGGAGTGGATTTGTTCATGTAGATTCATGTAGGTTGCTTGTGTTTGGCTGAAAATCAATTAGTTGATCTCAATTGGAAAACCAAGTTACGGGCAAATTGTGGTTCCGAGAATGTTCTGAGGCGAACGTATGTCCTGTCTTACAATGTTATGTGGCTAAGGTGTTTGCTGAGTTTACCTTACCGGACAATTTGATATTGTACGACGATTTGTCTATCAAAGCCCGGAAATTTCTTCCTCATTCGAAGCGGTCACGGATCTGAAAGTGCTTGTCATTTGTTGAGACGTACTTCAGCCACGAATGTCTTAGATGATTTTTTCCATCTGCTCACACAGTCATAAACCCCGTCTCTCGATCCTTAATTTACCGCCTTTGAGGTCTTTCTTGCAGTATGTTTGTCAGTAGGTTCAATACGCACTTCAAAATTTGTAGGTTGCACCTTAAGGAACAGTAAATGGCAAAATTCCTACTTCTACCTGCAGTTGCGGTCTCACTGAGACTTACCAAAATCATTTTGTCAACCAAGCCATCAGATATTACTCTGCTGCAAGGATTGTTTTGAACAAATTGTGAATATTTGACAATACCGCATAATATTGAAGGGGATGCTTCTAGGTTCAAGAACTTGTAGCACTTGGGCCTTAGTTAACGGATGCATCCTCAGTTGTGCCTGCTTGTGAATGGTCTAAGCGAGGGTTTCTGACAACTCCTTCTCACTAAAGTTCATTGCTGTAACACTTGCGAGACCAGACTCTTCAGTCGCCAGGGAGGATAAATGAATTGCTTGGAATGATGTGGAGCGGGTCGTACTGGAGTACGTTCTGCCTCACTTGGTAGGTTGCAACTTCAACTTGTCTTTTTCTTATGATATTTCGAATCATAGCCAGCCATTTACCATGTACAGGAACGCTGTGTGTTTTATTTTTCGTTTTCTAAGTCAAGTGAGTGTAAAGCTTTTGCATTTGAGTATAAACTCTTGAAAATCTAGAAACGAGCTTGCGACTGACGAAACCTATGCGTTCCTTGCTTTCAGGGTTCTGGTTCCTTTACTTCAAGGTTACGAGGATGCGGGAGATTTTACAATATCAAAAAGGCTGAAAACATCCGTTCGAAGCAACCTTATCTTATATTCTGCGGTGGGGGTGGTCGGGTTTTTTGGCGTGTGTATCATGATATACCTGAACAAGCTGCAATGGTTCGAACAAGCTACTCATCTTCAGTTTTGAAGTCTTTTAGAGCTACCGTCTTTCTTTTCAATTGGACCATCTTCGCTGTGTAGTTTCTTTTTCTGCCACGTTTAGACATTGTCCATCTTTATAGTGATTCTTTCTAAGTAAGAGGAGGGCCGTTCTTCTCTGTAAGTAGTATTTGAGCGCTCAGCTAACAAAGCATGTAAAACCACTGTTTGGTCGACTATCCAAGTATCTGTCGACCGGCAGGAAAGGTTTGAGGCGTCTTAGTTCTAGTCTGTTTACAGAGCTGATGATGATAGTGTCGCACGTCGTTTTGGTTATTTTCCAGCTCGATAAATAGATCCTTGGCATCGACTCGTAGTAGGTAACTTACAGACATCCAAATGCGCCATGCTACAAAGCTGAGACATTGTTTCCCATGTTTTATAGGTCTGGTGTTATGGCATTGGGCATGGCATGCTCAAACACCTTCGGATTAGTGACTGGAGCTTTTCTTCTTGGTTTTGGTCTCGTCGAAATACCACGTAGTCAGTGGAGGAATGCGGATTTGATGTTTCGGCAGAAGCTTCTCACTCATCGTATTGCCAGAGTAGCCGTCAAGCTAGATGATGCCCATCAAGAGCTGTCGACTGCTATTGTGGTTAGTGCATTTCCCAATTTGCTTCTACTCCTGGTTGCAGTTGTCTTTGTTGTATATATATATATATATAGTACTGTGTTTTGTCTAGCTTGTTGCGTCTATATTCATGAATGTCTAAGTTTCTTCACGGGTTGTTATCCATTCTTCCTCCAAAAGTGTGCTAGGCATGTCTCAAAGATGTAATGCAGAAACCAGTCTATCTCGTGATTCCACTACAGCTCGCTCTTGCGAATAAATACACACCGGCCTGCTTTGATTATGCCGGTAGGGCAGTAGCTGATTGCATAAGCTTGTGTTAATATGCTCCTCCTCAACTGGTGTATTCTATGGGATGTTGCCAGATTGCGCAAGCCACATCAAATCAAATGGCCAGACAAGATCCATTGAGGCCTTGCATGGATATCATAGAGCAAATGTTGGAGCAATTGGTGCGTGAACTTCGTTGATATTCTTAGTGCTTGGAAAATATTTGTCATGTTTCAAACTCTTATGTACTTGTAAGGAATGATCTCTTTTGTGATGAGTGCATTAGTTTGTTGGATGTTGTTGTATTCTCATTTCGTAATGTTGTATCAGTCTTACTGAATCTGGATCTCCATATTGGTTACTTGACAGGCGAGGGAAGATCCACTCTTTAAACCTTCAGGCGGAAGGATGGGGGAAAGTGACATGGACTACGATACTGATGAGAAGACTATGGCTGATCTTAGACGGCGACTGAGGAAAGCAAAGGAGTCCTACTATCGCTACAAGAGGTAGAAAATTCTGTACAAAGCAATTATTTTTTATGTTTGATTGTTCCTGTCTTTGTAAACATGGAAATGTGAAGGTTTTCTTTCGGCGCGTCTGAACTTCTGCTTATCGCGCGGGCTCCACATGTCCAAATGTGGAACATGCAATTGAATAACTACAACAAAATCGATTAGAGTTATTTTTATCATCTAGCTGCTTGACAAATAGGAGTTTAGGTCTCACCCTTGTTTTGGCAGTGATTATGCAGGTTATGTCTGGGAAGCTCTGGAACTGGAAGAGACTGCAAAGAATATTGAAAGAGGGAAAACCACATCAGAATGGTAAGATTTTTTCTTCTCAGCCTGAGCAGTAGACTACGCCCGGCCACGTATATGTATGATGCTTTTTTATTGAGAATCACAGTGGTGCTATAGAGTTGGTTTCCTCTCGACGTTTTCCCGTCTCTGGATAATAACAACGTCAATTTTTTATTTACTATTCCATAAGTTGTTTACAATTCCCGAAAGCAAGTAGACGTCTTCTGGCCGTGTTTGACTGTTTTTCTTCCCACCAATTCGCTGAATCGTCTCAATAACGATATACTAACTTGGTAATATTCGAATTTTTCTACAGGCACTTTGTAACTACTGTTCGTCCAGCACGAACAGGATCACTAGCTCATCATTTAGATTCTTTAGGTACGGTCCTGTTTTTGTAGTTGCTACAATGGAGTTCTTATCTCATCATTGAAAAGTCTGTGTTGCCGTGGAATAGGTATTGCAATTGAAGCCAGTTATATCACGCCAGGAAGCCTGATGATGGGTTGCTTGACTGCAGAGTATATTTGGCGATGTGTCTTGAGAGAACGCGTTATGAGGACCTTCGCCGTTACACTAGGAATCATGTCATTTGCTTTAATATTTGCTGAGGCCACGTTGCCTTACGGATCCGATCTGTCGCTTTTTTCTCACTTAATCAAGTTCGCGGGCGATCAAGAGATTCTTGTACAGGTCAGTATTGATGGTAGTCAACGCCTTTTTAAGTAGAGGTGAAAATCGTTTGGATTGTTGATAAGTTTAGCGCCTCCAGATTTTCCACACATTGCATGAAAGACAGTTAGCACCTAGTGCTCTTCAAAGTTTACTTTTTTGAAGCCCACCGCGTTTTCTTTCTAGACTTGGTCCGATAAGCCTTATTTTGGTATTTGCTTACGTACTGTGCTTACAGAAATTTTTTTCCGAGTCATTCACTTAAAAGCGATGTATTCCTTATCATGTGTCGTTGGACTTCCTGTGTCCAGATTCTTGCATTCATCCCTTTGATGTACATGTGCATTTGCACGTACTTTTCACTCATTAGACTCGGGATGATGACGATATACTATCTGGCACCCAAACATACGAGTTCGGTGAGCTTGCTTATGATCTGCTCGTAAGATTCGCAACTTTAGACTTCGTTACAGCTAGATGATGTTTTGCTGGTTATCTGTTGGAAGGGTTTTAAGAGAGAGTTTGCTGCAGCATTTGTTCATAACTAGGTTTAATTATTGACACATGATCTAGTTCGACCTACCCATCTGTAAATGAGTAATCAATTCTTCTTTGCAGTATCATGTGTTTGTTGTCTACAGTCACAACCTAGTGTGATCTTTGTCTGTGCAGCATGGTTGCCCGTTACGCTGCACCTATGTGCTACAATTTCATCAACCTTATTCGACTGGATGTTGGCAATAATCTCACTACTTTTGAGAGTGTAAGTTGTATACACGCGCGATGGTTTATGATGCTGTTGCCTGTTGATGGCCTCTGAAGCCTTCGTTTTATCTAATGCACGAGCCGAGACAAAAAACCCGGATGAGGTTTACTGAGTGTTCACTAATGCGGTTTCAGAAAATGGGAAGAATGGCTGATGTACCACTTATTGGAGGAACGCAATTTCAGAACTACTATCCAATCTTTATGGTGATCTACACTGCACTGTTGGCCATCAATGTCGTGGACCGTGGAATTCGTGCTGTTGGAAGTTGGCGCAGATTCCGCAGTGATTATGAGGATGCAGAAGGATTTGATCCTTCAGGTCTCGTCATTCTTCGGAAAGGTTCTAACCGAGACTTATACCCACATATATGATCATTCAATGAGAGCACTTACTTAAGAGCGATTCATTGAACTTTTGAAGCCTAAGATTTGAACTTTTTATCGTTCCGGAGCTGAGGGTTTCTGGTCGGATGAACCAACATTCAGCCTCTTGTAGTTTTATTTATTTTGCATTAGTAAGTGTAGCAGCCTCACACTCGTGGCCTGGATTGATGTTCATTCCAGAGCGAACATGGCTGGAACAAGGTGGAACAGTTGGAGAGAACGTTGTTCCACTTGCTAGAAACTTCGGTGGTGGAATGGAAATGGATGTGGAGGCTGACGAACATTTCATCAAGGTTTGTATGGCCTATTTGAATATGGGCCAAGAAGGTTATGCTTCTAAATTGTTGTGTGGCAGGTGTTGGCACTTTTTTGAACTGCTCGTTGCGAAATCTCTTGTTTTTTGTTTTTATTGTAACGTGCCTATGGAAAGTTTCTCCAGCTTACCTTAACTTTTGCTGAGCAGAAAACGTTGGCCGAAACACCAGCACCTCACACCAGTGGAAGACTAAAGGATGGTGGATCAGGTGGAGTGGATAAGCATGTTGCTAAGGGAAGTTCCCCTCCATTGATCGATTTGGGCGGGAAAGGCTCGAATTTTAGGGACTCTGGAGGAAGAGCTGCCAAAGAACCCACTGCGTATCACGCAAGTCGGGATGCTATTCTAGCTAAGTATTCGAATGTGAAGGATTCAAAAAGTCGAACTCAAAGCCCAGGCCCAGCAAATGACCATCGATCGCCACCCAGACCCCTTGCAGAGGACCTTCCTACGAATCCGAGCGGGAAGGAGCAGTTTCAAGGAGCTCCATCATCTGGTGCAAAGTGGGACTCGATGAAGTCAACCTTCCAGAATTTCTCAACGAAACGTCTGGCTCCATTCCGACAGGAGAAAGAGATGGCTTCAAATGTCCCGCCTTCTTCTTCCACAGACCATCTTGATACCATTTTTCAAGGGCTTAGATCCAAGCGAGAATACAACGAAGCAGATGACGAGAGCCTAGATCTTAGATTACTGGGTTGAGAATTTAATTCACATCTATTCATTTATCCATAGGGAAGGGACAAGTGAGCTTCTTGGGCGATTACTTCCGAACCTTGTCCTCACCTCATGTGCAAAGACCTGCTTCCAAACGGGATACATACGACATATGCGAAATAATGGAGGTGGGACTCACTTAAGCGGCTCATTTCGGCTATGAATCTGCCATGGATGAAGGTGGGCCTGCTGGATAGTACCTTCTTACACAGGCTGTGTTTATGGACGGGATATTCTCCCCACTTCGACACCTTGGAAGATTCTTCCATGAACAAATCTCCTCTGGCGAGTGTACATTATTCTTCGGAGATGTGGTAGTTATGAAGATGTATTTTGGCTGTCGCCGTCGAAAATGGATGCGATGCAATGAGTAAGTATGGTTGGTGGAATGAACACCCACTGCTCTTCAGTGGACAAGAACAGTTGGGGAGGTATGATCAGTGACCTTTCCATGGACTATAGCAACCCTGTATCTAAAGGAGTTAACATTAGCATCAATTTTTAGATTTACTGTGCTGAAGCAGACCAGATGCTAAGTATTATTAGCGACTAAAATCAGTTGATTCGAGACCTTCTTAGGGTTTCGAAAATATCAACATTTACTTGTAGACGAAAGGGCCTGGAATCAAAGTGGTCTAGGCGAATTCTTTTATATTTTCAGAATTTTGACCTAGATTGTGTTGTGGACAAGTTTTTCACATTGAATTTCTTGCCAAGCTCAAAGCGAAGATCAAGATGATCCACTTTTACAAGATTTGTTGCCCAATCAAGGTTACACGACAAACAGACAATTGTGTTGTGCAAAGTGAATTTACGTGTTTGTCATATGGCTGGAATCGATCCGCCTTGGATCATTTCCTATCGCTGTTTAAAATAAAGGCGGGCAAAGCCCAGTACGGGCTTTTTCCAAGTTTTTCAAGACGAATTGTTACAAAGGGAGTGTGTTGATGTATGCAGATGCATACATGCTTAAGTGCATCTTTGCTCAAAATTTCAGGAGCTTTTGAGAACTTGAACTTGAAAGCCGGCTGCTGTCTGGAAATATAGTGGCTAATTCTACTGGGAATGCCGTGATTTCAACTACCTCGTGATATATAGCGGTCAATTATATACAAAGGTCTGCACAGCATATCATTTGGTCACTGACCCAAGAGTACCTACAGTTTGATAGCCATCAAGAGCCGAAGATATCTTGATGGCTATCTAAAGCCGAAGGTAGATTCTTGACCACAACCGGACCAACTTTTCACTCGGTCCTGTCTGTCTAGGAGATGTGACTTAGGTGCGACTTAGGTGTGCTGTAGGAATTTCGCGGTCATGTTTCACTTTTCTTATTTATCAAGCTCTTGCCTCCACTCCAAATATCTTGTTCATATGAGCAATCATGTGACGTGCTTTCAGGAATCTAGTTTTCTATCTTTTGTCAATTTTTTTACCAAAGTAACTTTGATCTAAGATGGAATGCGAATGTGTTGTGGTCCAAACCTGTACTAATGAGCCACTTCTCGACCGATTTGCAGTAGGAAAGTTAGGAACTGAGAGGTTGTATGATTAACTCGGTGAATGCTTCCGTTGTTGGCATCTTCGGGAATCACAGTAAATAACTCGTATCATAATCTTTTCATTGCCAACTTTGGTAGGATTTACGCATGACAGAAAAAGAAAAGAAACTAAAGAAAAGAACTCTTGTCAAGAGAGGATAAAATTGTGAGTTGAACTTTTATTTCCCAACAAATAAAGCAGAAGGAAATGTGAAAGCCGTGGGTGACGCCTTGTGTGTACAACATAAAACTTTTCAAATCTTACTGAAGAGGCAGTGTAGCTTTTCTGCGGTTATGCACTCTATCTGCCAGCCACATTATGTCTTGGTATTTATTTACAAGTGGAGATGTCATCTCTCAGTGTGTTTTCTCTCTGCCTGACATGAATTTCGTCCATCTCTTTAGTGTTATTTTCTGAATCTATATGAATTGATCTTAATATTTGAAACAAAATGAGATTGTACATTGTGCAGATAGTTTGGATCTGTAACTTTGAATCTCCAATACGAGATTGGGTTGAATAAAATATCTTGTCCAAGAATGCTTTCAAAACTACCTGTATTCAAGACGTTTAATGCTTAACATGTATTAACGTTACAACTATGGAACTCAATTATTGCAAAACTTGTACGGCTACTAACAATATTTTGGTTTTAGCTTTGCTTTGTTCGGTGAAGCATTGATGTGATATCTCCGCTTCAGTAAGTGAAATGAGTCCAACTCTTTGCCTTTAGTTAAATGATATAGCGAAGTATCTTAGTGGATAAAGAGGAATGCAATTCAATGTCTTTAAAATAAAATTAAAAAACTTCAGTGAATAGTTTGTTCACATCAATAATTTGTATCCTTTAAGGTTCTTTATTTGATTATTTGATGTGTATTTCCATATTTCTAGAGATACACACATGGAGTGATATATTTAAGCTACATTTTTTATTTTTTTACATAAGTATATGTTTTGGACATTAGAAATGCTGAATTGTCTTGTTTGTAGAGACACTAGTTAGTTTCAACTAGATTAAACTGCATGTTAAATAGCAGATTTGATAATCCAAAGTAGATGACTGAATGTTGACCCACTGAATCCAAGTTTGTCCGTCAAAGCTACAATATGTCCTTCTGGCTGATTCATATGTAGCAGGCGGAACAATTCTAAATCTCTCTCAAAATGCGTTGCCATCCCAACTTATTTTCATGTTGAGACCCTTACCATTATATTTACCACCAATGTAGCATTCTCCTCTTTTCTTCTGATATGAAGTTGCCGAGTGAAGAATAAAAAAACCATAAAAGATAAAAACTCCATATGGTTCGGAGGAAGATTGATTGAAAAAGTCTAATACCTACCTATCTAGTACATGCAAGTATACAAGATAATTATTCATAAACCATGCATATGATGAACTTGTTTCCCTCCCAACAAATATGAGCTTCCAAATAAAGTGTTGGCGTGGAGCATAAACAAGCTACCCATCTTATCAATATCATTTACCATAATCACAAATTGAATCCTTCTATGCACTGATTAGACACCGATGCAGTATTAATTGTGATATCCATGATGAAAGGAACTTTCGTATGTAAAGTCCCTCTTCTACACTTTATCATCGGGATGCAAATTACAAATTCAAGGTTCCTCTTCTAATGTAACGACTAAACATCCACACCCAGGACACATTTCTGGGTTCGTAGAAACAAATTCTCGAGAAACGTACATGATACCCACATACAGCCTTACGGTATAAATCATAGGAGTAATTTCTTTCCAGTTCTTGTCAAATAAACCTTCCAGTTGAGTAAACTCTTTAGCCTGCGCTGAATGACTATAATATCTAATAGATGGTGAATATAATAATCACTCTGAATGACAAGTTTTGTCAGACCTTGAATTTGATCAAAGTGGCAGAGCTGGCGTGGAACAGTCATGGCGAATTGCTCAGGCCGTGTTCATATTGAATACAAATTCCGACTGCAGAGAAGATTGACTCCAGTGGCTGACTGAAGAGTTAAAGAATGACACCGGTGGCAATGAACGGAAATGAAACATTTGACCTCAAGTAGCACTCGATTCCTTGCTTTCTGCCGCGAGAGAGTTACGGTAGCTTTGGAGCTTTGTACACGCAAATGCGTATTGATGGTTCTTTGATGACAGTAGCTCGATTCCAGTCATTTAGCCACACTGAACTTCAGCAAAAGTGAGAGCATATGGAAGACTACTTTCGCATGTTCGCAATAGGGAACACTAAAGATTAGGATATGGTTATCCCTCTCTTGATCTTATTTTAGGTGACATATATTATGTAACTTATGGAGACCACTAACTAGTGCAACCTCCAGTAATTCCGAAAAGGTAGTTGTTATGTTGTTCATATATTGCTTCAAGTATTAGTCAAAGTGTCTACATATTTTATGACATGTAACATTTTGACCTAAATAATCAATTTAATTAGTTGCACTCGTTTAAATATTCTCCATAGTGATACTTTTTACACATATCATGGTTTCACTAGTTTCGTTCATCCACGGGTGTCATATTTGATGGGCTCTTCGCCATCCTTTTGTCTATTTTCAAGGATGGGCTGGGCTGCAGCTGGAAGCGATGGGTGCTGTTGGCGGGAATTGGGGAGGCTATTGATGAATGTGAATATTTCTACTCTGCTTTTTTTCGAGCCCCGAAAGGTCTCGTAGTCCGAATGATTACTGAGAATCTTCTTGAGCGGATATTTTGGACGTCAGTAAAAGAGATAAGGTCAAATGCTCACATGATTTGACCAAATCCTTACGGTGCTAATGTGTTCAAAAGCTCACAATGAGAATGAGCTCCTCTACGAACAAAGGCAAGGAAAGGGAATGGAAGACAAACCAAATCTTTGATGTATTTGGTTCGGTCAAGTAATCATAGACTCTTTGCAAATGATGTTCATAACAACACACAAGTTTTGGACGCACTTTGGAAGCGAGTCTTGCTACACGGCTTCAATGGCAAAATCTGTACACTGGACTGGAAGTGGTGATTCTTCTCCTCCTTTCCATAAAGTTTTATAATGAGGTCTTGTATTTTTGATGTGACACGAAAGATTTCTTCATAGTGAGGGTATGGGTAAGACGATTCAGCGCAAGGGAATGAATCAGGAGAAACCTTGAGCTCTTCATGCTCTACGTGCAATGAAGCATGTACATGTACAGGGGAAGAGCGAATGGACTCGTGCATTAAGTAAACCTAAAAGACAGGAAATGACGACGGTGAATGATCAGCTGGTCGATATCCCATTCGATGACGATTGAGTTCTTCCAAAGAGCACATTAATTGAGCACACTGGCTCGCGTGTACTGTACTTGTTTCAGACCTGAGTCGTTTGACATTTCAAAGTGAAGTGTCACACCTTCATTGAAAGAAAGTAGGCAAAAGAGAGAGAAAGAGAGAGAGAGGGGGAGAGGGAGAGGGTCAGGTCTTTTGCAACCGAGGCCAGAGGACACACGATATCATTTGTCATCATGTCGCTATGCCTTCCCACTGCAAGATCGGAACGGTACACTGTGAATCTTTTCTCCCCTAGCCTTGGGAATGCTCACCCACGTTGAACGACAGTCATCATGTCCCTTCTGCTCGCAGGGCCAAATGGATGTATCTGTCTGTAATTGAATTATTATGATAATATCTCCTCTACGTTCTTCGTCATTCAGTCTCGCTCTCGGTGACTACAATTCGGAGCTTTTGTGTCAGGAAGTGTGTTTTGCACTCCACTCTAATTCTACTGCTGCTGCGATGCGATACAGTACAATACAATACACTTCAGTTCGGTTCAGTGCAATGATGCTGAAGTCAATCGAGTAGGAATACGATGACCGCTAAGCTCTAGATTCAGACTCATCCGTTGGTTCGTTGCTGTTGTTGTTTCATGAGTGAATGGAGGGCATAAATTTTTTCACCTGGATTGAATTGGACTGGACTACTGCACCTGTCTGCTGCTCCTCAATCCTGGCCGAACTATTTGCAAGGCAAGGAAAGTCAGGGAAGGGCAGGGATCGCTAAGCTGGCGGTTTCGCTTTTTGGAGTCTTCGCTGCCCAGTGCATCTCTGTGGTGGTTGGTCTGGGGATACTCCTCCTCTTCCTCGCCTTGCTCTGCCTCCCTGCCTCTCTGCCGCTGCCTCTGCCTGTGACTGCTGCTGTTGACTAATCTGCTCCGGTCGGTCTCGGCTGGATGAGCTCAAATTCCCAAGTGGGTTTTGGTGGTCTGCTCAGTGCCTAAGCTTTGCTTTGCTTGCACAATCTGTTGTCGTCGTTGTTGCTGTTTGAGTGTCAGCACTTGTCAGCTTTCATGTCATCTGTTGACTAGGATGACTGTCTTCTCCTCATGTAGATCAACTTTCTTTCTCCTCTATGTCTCTGAATCGTGATGTCGACTCAGACTTTGACTCATTTTGAAAGTTGGTTGGGATACTGGACATCAATTTCTATCACGCCTGAAGCAAGAAAGATCAGTGAAAGTCGGCGACCCCGGATGAAAGTGTTGTCACTTCTTCTGGATGAGCATGACCTGTTCCTTTCCCTCGCAGAAGAAGGCTGATCTTCATGCTTTAAGAATTCTCTATTTTCATGATATCTCTCAGAATCATCCCATTGGAAGAATTTCAGAGTTGTGCAGGTTACGTTTGGAGCTCTGACTGACTGACTGACAGACAGACCGACCTGCAATGTGATTGGAAGTACACGAAGAAGATCAGCACAAGTCTCCACCTTTCTCCTCCGTGAATAATGTGTTCATCCGTGATCATAGAAACATGGCACCAAATGTACGTAAGAGAATCGCAGAGCGTGCCGTTGAAGAGCAACATTCCACCTACTGGTATCTTCCACGTCAAAGGCAGCATCATGGCTAGCATAGAGAGAAGGGAGCCGAGCTCGAAAGGCACCAGGCCATCTGGACATGTCTGATGGTAATTCTGCCTTCCACGAAATCTCACCGAATCAAAGACTGTTCTTTTTCTCTCTCTGCGTTGAGAAGTTCTTCACGATTCAAGTTTCTAACAGATTGCAGTCAACTTTCGCTTTCCTTTTCTCCCGTTGCGGAAAGTGGGATCGGTCAACAAACACAGATTTTGGACATTAAACGAAAAGGACTGATGAAGGGGAAGGAGACGATTGAAGCACAAAAGTGGTGAAATCACAACCACCACTCGGAAAACAAGCACTCCAGCACCAAGAGAACGCTGAAGGTGAGGATCAAAAGACCTTCATCTTCATCACAACCTTATCTTTTATGCGACCTACGTTCGTTCGGCCTTCAAGAGGCTGAGGATGTCATCTCTCATCAAAATCATCAAAATCAAAAGTGAACCAGGCAATTATTGCAAAAAAGGGTGGGAAGGGTACATGGATGAAAGCAAAAAGCAAATGGGTAAGATGCGGCTAGGCCCCAATATCATCACACTAGGAAATATGTCCAATAAGAAAGGGTCTACCTACCAAGAAGGAGCATCGACCAAAGATGAAATTATTTTTAACCCAGTCTACAAATCAGATATTCAACTCAACTCAATCCGAAAGGAAATGGTCTTAGCCCCTATGGCTGGATCTTCTTAAAAGAAGTCTTCTCGAACGAAAAGAGATAGCCTTAGAGCATGGCTTCCAAGACTCGTCCTTACACCTCTAAACAAGGTCTGAGTTTCAGAGAAGGCGTGACGCATTCACCCTTGTTAATGCGTCACAAGAACAAGAATATTTGTAGAAATAATGGTTAGTGTTATTTCAAGTCTCGGGTTAACTTTAATTAATTCAACCTTAGTTAAGGTTAGTTTTAGGGTTTTTACTATATATATAGAGGAAGGGTGAGTTATAGTTCGCTTTAGACATTTTGTAGGTTTTGATAAAATTCTCTTTGTTCTGGCGAACCACGTGTATTTCATCTCGGGCGTAGTGTGTGCTCGTCGTATTCCTGGATTTTTCGTTCTTTTTTAATATATTGGTAATGGACGATAATTTTGGCTCGTGATGTTTTGGGGACTTCTCGTTTCTCGCTACAACAAGAATTGGTAGTCAAGTCAAATGATGTAGTGTCGACTATGGTAGTGTAGTTAGTGAGTGTGCATGGCGGGGTTCTTAGAACTTGGTGGCCCTGGAGAAAAGCGAGATGATGCAGAAGAAAATTAGAGAGTAGGCCTTGGAATCGAGTCTGAACCCCCAACTTTAGTAGGGATATTACGAATTTGCTACATTTCGAAATTGGCGTGAGAATGGTACCCGAAAACTTCATCTCTCGAGGAAACACATCTGAGCGAGCAATCAATGACCAAACAGAAACGAAACCCAGAAGAGATAGAGATAGCAATCAGTCACTCCAGTGTACACACCGAAACCAAAAGACAAGATTAATCATACACTCTGTAGTCAGCTTTTCGTGGTAAGTTGCTTTGGACAAAATCTTTGTAAAGATGTTCTTCTTACAAGATGGCAGTCTGGATTCAAATCGCCTATCTGCTATTGGGTGGAAGCGTTCTAAGATTCCAATTGGCTCGACTCTGCACATCTCCGTGCAGGAAACGCAGGCTATCTGGTTGCTTGTCATGGCCTTGCCTGCGAAAGCCAGTGGACGTCCCGCATGGTGTACTACAAACCACCGTACAAAATTGGCATTCCGGGATGAAACAGAAAGAAAAGAATGATAGAAACAGCAACTTTATTATAAAATCAATCGTATGGACAGTATAGACAATCGAACACCATTCAAGTCGCATAACAAGGGCCCAAGTATAACATGTTAATGGCCCAGGTACAGCTGCTCCATGATTGGTGGACGGACGGACACACACGGGGGCACATACGAGCAAAGTTAGTTCCATCAAAATGTAGGATGCAATCCCGTTGGATAGATGTCCATTTCGTCTGGTCAAGCACTGGGTAGGATTTGAATTCCTTCGTAGATTTGGAGTCACGATTCCTGTCTTCACGAACTCGATGTCACAGCATGCAAGATCGGATTCTTAGAAGATCTAATGCTGGCCTAATGTACTCGATTAAAAATAATAATCCACGACTGAGGCGTATGATACTCATGTACAAGAGCTGTATCGATTCAATCTCGATCTCCGGAACTCAACCTGGCCAGATCTCAGGCCTGAGGCCTGTGTTTTGTGGGGCCCAAGTTGTCCATCTATTTTGCTTTCTACTCTAAATGTGTGAAGCGGAGGAAATCAGAGCAGCAGCTGTTGACGAGTCTGCCGTCGCAGCAGCAGGGGTCATGCAATCCAAGTCAGCTGCGCTCTAGAAGGTACTTGTTTGTGAGCTTCGATTTTCTTCAAAGTCCACGAGTCTAAGAATCTGTCTGCGAGTGTATGTCAAGAGCTACAGATGTATGTGGAGCAGAGGGATGGCTTCGAGTACCAGAAAGTGACACTTATATGTTTGTTAATGATGCTGCTGCAGCGAGAGAAAAAGCGAAATTAATTTTCTATGAAGAGGCCCAAGATTAGGTCCAAATCGGGAAGAGTCGATTGACCTTTGATCATGAGTGGGTGGTGTGAATCCCAGGGAGTCTACAGCATGTCAGACATCCACTTGCCTCTCCCATTGTACAGCAGCTCGGATCTCTTGTTGTTTTATGTTTGCAAAGGCAGGATAGAATACAGAGTTGACTCGAATTCCACGGATTCAAATGGCGGATATCCGTGTGAGCGAGTGAGTTGTGTCCCTGATGGTTGCCTGTTCCCAGTGAGCTTGGAATGTCGTGTCTGTCACGAGCTGAGCCATGGGGAATGCCGTGCTTCGTTGACAGATGAAGAAAGGGTTAAAAGTGCATGCTGAAACATTTTTGCACGAGCATCTAGGCAATGAATTGAAATTTTCAGGTTTCTTCACGCAGTTTTTTATATGCAGGACTGTGTTGCAGTGTCCCCTCAAACACACTCCCATTTGCCGATGACTTCGTCCGCGACTTCATCTCGTTTTTTCTGATCTGTTTAGAGGCAAGGAGGGAAGGAGCTGGTCGGGCACAAGTGTGCAGCAGAAAAGGGCTCAACGTCTCGCCTTGTTGCTCTGAACCAGTTCCTTCTTCCCATCACTTCATGGTTGTCCTCCAGTGCAGACCGAGCAATGGCCTCCTCTTCTTCAGTCGTTTGCTGTTCAGTGTTGGCATGGTGAGCGCTCCTGCCCTCCAGGTCGGTGGGCCGATGGAACCCATAAAAGCTCTGCAAGCCTGATTATCCTTGGGTTGGAAGGTTGAATCACCTTTGGGTCGGAGGAATCCAGCGCATCGAGGGCCGAAGCGTGAGCATAAAGATGAGATGGACAAGGATCTTTTGACAGCGATAAGTTGCTTTATGACAATATGGAGTTCATGAACACATGATCTGAAACATGTGTTCAGACGAAAGCTGGACACGCATGCCATTGCAGTGTCGAAGGCATGAACCATCAATAGAAAGCCCTCAATACAACGAAACGCAACCAGCGGCAGTCGAAAGAGCACGTGGCTCGCTACTCTTTCTTCCAACCTTTTCTTGTTCTCCCTTGCGAAAATTGTACCAGTACAGCAGAACTTACTCATGTTTTCCAACGAGCTTACTCTCGATCTCACAATGTTCATGACCAGGTAAGAAGAAAGTAAAGAGTATAGAAAGAATCTAATTCTTCAAACGGTCGGGGAAAGGAAGTGAAGAACATGCTTGGACACAGTTGATAAACGTAGATAACTTCAGATCTTGGATATACACAGATTGGACACAATACTTGTTTATGGTGAGAAATGCTTAAATGTAAAAGCAATTTAAATTCACATGTTCAACCTACGTCTAAAGATCTATGACAAAAAATACTATATCTAAGATATACACACAGATTGGACACAATACTTGTTTATGGTGAGAAATGCTTAAATGTAAAAGCAATTTAAATTCACATGTTCAACCTGAGTCTAAAGATCTATGACAAAAAATACTATATCTAAAGTACATAAAATGTCTTAGATATATCATAGAACTGGGAACGATTCCAACGGCAATCATGCTATACGATAAAATTTTATTTGATTATAGTTATTATATTTGACAACCAACACATAGCTTATTGTTTGGAACTTGTTTTTCCTCCATGATTTCGTTGAAAAATTATCTCTGCCGTGTAGAGCTGTGGTTACGGATGGGGTAAGTATTTCGTATGCATGGACCAATTAGAGTATAGCAACGAAGAGCAGAGCACGAATCTTATATGTTTCAGCAGGACTGATTTTGAGGATTGACACGAGGATCAAGAGTCCGGCCCAAATTTCACTCAAAGTCTGTGCCTGGGTATTAGATTTCCTCCCCGCAGACTGATTGTCGTGATTACCCTCGGTAGAGCATTGTTTCGAACTTTGTTGCCTATACTCGTGCATTGACACGTCAGCCCGATTTGGCGACGGAGTGAGCTGGGGCGAGCTAGAAATATTGGAGACCATCGAGCGAGTGTGTCGAGTGGGTGGGTGAGTCCAAAAGGACCGACCTCTTGTTGTTGTCCTTACACCTCATCTCAAGCTTCATTACATGACGACGGTTAAGAATTCGCACAAATTTTTATTTAAGTCAAGTCAACTTAGCTTTGATTATACATATTGGTTCATATTTCATTATATAATAGAGTTCACTGAAAGTATCAAACAAAAAAATATGATTTTTTGGAGTAAAGCGTAAGTTACTTTTGTAATGATAAACCAAGTAATATTTTCTGCGTTATCTGCTTGTGTTACTTCTCGGAATGAATACTTGTTTGCTCGTATTTATGATATAATATTTGGTATTTGAGCGAATGAATGATGCGTTTGTGGCTTGTTGTCACAATACAACTCTTGTTTTGTGATATTCAGAAATGCAAAATCCATAGAACAAGGCAACGATATATCTATCAAATCCTTGCCACTTTTGATAGGTCTTGAAGTCAAGTTGATTGTCATAGAATTTGGACTCTCATATTACATACCAAAAGTTTAAAAACATTTATTCTATAAACTGTTGATTATTCACCCCGGTCTAATATTTCTGCTTTCAGCCACGGTGTTATTTGTCTTCTCATTTGTGGGAAAGTTTCAAGTTTCCCGACAAGTGCCTCATGGTTAACCTGATCAAAAAACTTAGAAACATAACGATGAAAAAACAATCTTATCATTACTCTATATTCAGTGAATAATATTTTAAATTATGAATTGATGTGAACTAAGATTTAAAAGATTCAAAATTCAACAAATTCAAAATTGCACAGTTTATTTAAATCTATACTTCAGCATAATGTCAAAAGTCATCACAAAATATATTTTATTTCCTGATAAAAAAATATGGGGTTATAATATGTTTTAAATCCTTGTAATAATATTGGAAATCATAATTTTTTAAAAGAAAATTTATTCTGTTTTATTCTAGTTAATTGATAGATATTGTGATATTTTGATTATAATTAGATTTTTTCAGTAAGACATTCGTTGAATTTGATAAAATTTTGCTGGCTGATTATATATTTCTTAAAAAAAATATACAAATGTTCTAAAACATGCTTAAATAAAAGTATGTTCTGACAAAATTTTCTTACTTTGATTTTATTTTTCTAGACTCATATATTAGCTTTCAAAATATTTATGAAGTAAGTCAACTGATTTTTGTTTTTTGATCTGAACTATCTGTACTTAGTTTATTAATTTTGAACTTATTAATAATAATTAATAAAATGATTTCAATAAAAAAAACTTGTGTATATTATACATTCGAAGAAAAAGCGTTATCATTATTTCAATATTTTAATGCATGTCATATTTATTCCTAAATTTTTTGAATCTTTATCAACAGATAGCATAAAAGAGTAATATTCTGCAAAAAAATCTATCTTTATTTTTATACTTTGACTCTGTAATTAATATCAAAGCACTATAAATGTACATCAAGATTAGAACTTATTAATTAGAGAGTATTTCATCTTTTTGATTTAAATTTCATTATTTTTTGTTCATCTATGAAATTAATTTGAAACTAAAAATAAATGATTTTCAAAAAAAGGGAATTTTTTTAAAATTTTTGGGGAAATTAATTGGAAAAATCGTGGTCAATTTTTTAATCAATGAAAAAAATGGAAAAATCTTCTAAAAAATAAAAAATCAATAAAAATCAAGGAGAACAAGTTTTTGACTCGATTTTAAAATTAAGGAAAATTATGAAAAATTAGATTTTTGATGATGGTTTTAAAATTAAGGAAAATTAGGAACAATTAGATAGATGATGATGATTCTAATTCTATTAAAACAGATTTAATAATTATCAATAAAATGATCGTACTTTATTTATCGAGGTAGTTAACATAAATTTTGGTTTGTATTCAAGTTTCAAGTTCTTTTTCAAGTTACTTAATTTAAATTGATACTTCACATGTAAAATTACACAACAAAATGAAAGTCACATCAGATTTCAATAAACAACAAAGTATGTGTTTGTATTAGAAATTTTTAACAGGTCAAATCATTTGAAATGTATCAATGTTTCTAATGTGTACAAAGTATGTTGGACGGACTCATATGTCGGATCATTCATCACAAAAATTCAAACTCAACAATTAAACAAAAATGTACAAGTACGCGCATAGATGAATTGGACATTCTTGGTTCATTACTGCAAATAAAGTACACTTAAAAAACTCATGATTTCTTAAGAAATTTTAAAAGGAGTCATTGAGAGATTTCAAAAGTTCTTTTATATTATGACATTTCTGTGCAATGTAAAATTAGCTAGAATCAAACTTGTGAAGTTTGATGATTAGTCAAAATAATTAATTCAACTTAAACACAGATTTCACATGCAAATATGATTAAGAGTCAATTCAATTTTTGACCTCACTTAGATTAGTTTAACATTTTTTGATGAAGCTAGATAGACTGTCAAAATACAAAAGGTTTCACAAAAATCTAGGCTATACTTGTAGGATTTTTTCCTAAGTATAAAAAATATATTTTTGTGTACTTACACAAAAATAGCCGAAAGGAATTAATCACGTATCTTTTATGTTGGCTATTTGTAAATGCACTATTTTCTCCTGTTTAATGTTTGTTATGT